ACTCCTGTAAAAAACATTAAAAATCGTTCTGATCCCAAAATTTTGACCGGTAGTGTGTGTGTGTATATATATATATATATATATATATATTAATGTAGAACAGTGATATAAATGAAAACCGCGGTGGTGTATTGGGATTTTATGTAGTATATTGATCCATATAAAAACATTATTGGTGGTATATTGAATAACACACATAGATAAGATATAGTACGTGTTGTGTACTGCAGTATGTATAAGTACAGTATGTGTAGTATAGATCAGTTTATAGAGTAATAATACGATCTGACGCAACCCTGCAGTCAATCGCATCATCATCATCTTCATCACCACCAAAATCATCTTCAAACTCACTGATCGACATCTGAGCGACGCTCTCGTCCGCCATATCACGCTCTGTAGGCCGCAGAAGAGTTGAGTCCGGTTCGGTTCGGAGTTGTTTTGAGGTAAATGCTCCGTTAAACGGTTCCGTCGTCTCGCTTCCTGTCACTGCACACACGCGCACGAGCCACTGGCGACGCATGCGCGCAGGCGCGAGCCGTTCTACGCTGTCGCTTCAGCCGGGGATTGGTCCGTTCGCAAGATGACGCTTTTTCGGGGAAGCTGATTGGTTGGGGTGAGGTAAGGGGGCGGGAGTTTGAATAAGGGCGAGTAGAATTGGTTGTTTTCTGACGTCCGTCAGTCACTAAACCTGTTTTTGCACAAACATTACATAATATCCAGGCAGCATTTTTTTTTATTTATTTTTTTCATAATTTAAAATTGTAATTTTTAAAAGCTGCATGAAATATATGTTTGAAATAGAAAACATATTTAGTTTCAACCTTCATATACCAAATGTATATTTAAAAATGTTTTGCAGGTGTAAGAAAACACACTTCCAAGCTTACATTTAAGCAAATCCAAATGTGGATAGCCTACTACAGATCAAAACAGAATTTATAATGATTTAATAATGTTTAATTTTATACATAATTTAAATATATATTAGTATTTTATAAATATATATATATATATATATATGTCTGTATTAACTTATATACAGTGTTTATGTGTTATAGACAACAAATAAAGTGTTTCTTCAAATGTATTTTCTTGGATTGAAATATATAGTGCAAAATACATTTTTAATGCTTTTCAAATATGTATTTATATATTTACATTACATTTACATTTAGTCATTTAGCAGATGCTTTTATCCAAAGTGACTTACAAATGAGGACAATAGAAGCAATTCAACAAGAGAGCGATGATATACAAGTGCTATAACAAGTCTCAGTTAGCTTAACACAGTACACATAGCAAGGTTTTTTTTATATTATATAATAAATAAATAAAAAAACAGATAGAATAGAAAAAGAATAGAGCAAGCTAGTGTTAGAGGCCTTTTTTGCTTTTTGTTAATTGTACAATAAATAAAAAAAAACAAATAGAATACAAAAAGATTAGAAAAGCTAGTGTCTCTCTATATATATATATACAGTGGGTACGGAAAGTATTCAGACCCCCTTAAATTTTTCACTCTTTGTTATATTGCAGCCATTTGCTAAAATCATTTAAGTTAATTTTTTTTCCTCAACAAAAAATAGCCAAAAATATATTGGAAGAAAACATATTTATGTAAATATATTTATAAACATATTTTAGAAAACTTTTTATATTTTGTTTAGTTTTTTGGCCATTTTTGTATATTTTGATATATATCTAAAAATATTTTATTTTATTTATGTATTTATTTATTTATATATATATATATTTTTTTTTTGCTGCTGCATGGGTATCCAAAACTCTCAGAAGATTTTTGCTGATACCCAAAACCAAATAATAAAACAAAATGTACCCAAAATTTTCTCTGAGGTTGACAGAAGAAACTAAAGGAGAGGAAAAAGCAGGAGACCATGTGATGATTCTAAAAAATTAGCAGGGTTTATTTAATAATTTTAGCTACGTATGTTTCAATGCTCAGACTGTGCCTGAAATTCCTCCTGTACTTCATCTGGACTTCGTCCTGTACTTCATCTGACCAGAGCAAATTCAACAAGTGCTATTATACCAAAGCAAAATCACCGGGAGAGAAAATCACTGCTTCACAACATTGTCCTGTGATGTTAAAATCCACCTTTAAAATGGAGACAATATCCCTCGAAACCTCACAATCATAAGATTAAACAACAATCAGAACTAGAGCAAGAGGAAAATAGTAAGTAATATAACAACACACATGCAGGCTGCTATTGAATATCCTTAAATCCTTCAATACTTTAGTCAAAATGTCTGTGTCTGTATGATAAAACATCAAATACATGATTAGAAAACTTTAGGTACTATAAAACACCAAAGTATTTATTAAACAAATGTGCAGATGTGTTCATTCAGTACTGAATGTGTGTGTGTTGTGTATGTAATCTACATCTCTTCATCACAACAGTGAACTTTCCTCATCCCATCTCAACCATCTCCAGCTCCACATAAGCAGACCACGGCTTTTCTTTCCTCCTCGTGCAGATCTGTGGTTCGGCAAACATAGAAAAGACACACGCATTCATTCACTAATAGACTTGATTCTCAGGAATCATTCATGTCTGTCGTGCAAACAGTTAATCGGTTTATGTTTATAAGGTTATTTTGTGTCAAGTCTTACGCGTTCGCAGCAGTGCAGCTGACAGATGGCATACAGCAGCACAGTACAGTACAGACTCATTTCCAGGGAAAAGGTGCTTTCAAAAAGCACTGCAAAATCCTCATCCAAGCGCTGAAACAACACCAGCAATGCATTCAACAAGTCATATTGCATATTTAACAACAGAAAATCCCAGTAAAACAGTCAATCCTTACATTGTGCCTGTGTAAATCTCACTACCTTAATACTAGGGTGTTTGTGGGGTGTTGTGGGTATTTTTTAGTATTTTGGTTCTTAGCTCATTACATTGTTGCATGTTTTTCCCACTCACTACTGTACTGTTAGATGTATGCATGCATTTATTTATTTGTATTTATTTATTATTTACATTTATATTAATTCAATTTTTTATTATATTGTTTTAAATTAAATATACATAAAACATATAAAAATAGTATCAAATTAAAATATTTAGTTTTTTAAATAGTTGGATTTTTAAAAAAATATTATTTATTTGTAATATTTTAATTTTATTTAATTTTTTTTTTACACTGACTGCTTTACTCCAGGACACATGACACCGTTCCTCAACAGGTGGAGTTACTGTGAAATGATCTGATCTTGAGTTATGATATGAATATACCTGATCTTGTCTTCCCTTCAAGGAAGAAAGCTTTGTTAACTCCTTATTTTTCTTAGGTAAGGAGGCCACGTCAAATCTCCTTTTTTGTGCTTTCTTCTCTGAAAGACAAACAAACAAAACATACGGATAAATAAGCAAACCTACAAATAAACACTTAAATTCAGTTTTATTTTCACATATACATACTGTTTCATAGCAGAGAAACACACGATCATCCTAATTATGCTATTTTGATAGATCAGCCAATGGTAAATGATTTATAGAGTAACGTTATAATGGTCGAAATCTAGCAACCAAATTAACAGTTGATTCTTAACATGTTATATTCTATAATATATTCCTAGTGCAAAAACACACCGTAGTCAGCGCTCGTCTGGTTCAGCGCAACTAATGAAATCAGGAATACAACCATCCCAGTTCTGATCCTGCTCATGTTGTGGTCGCGTTAAATCGATCCGTAACCATGGCAACTTAGAAGAAAAAAAAAAATAATTTGTCCTGGAACAGGAGAATATGCGATTTATAATAAAAATAGTATCAAATTAAAATATTTAGTTTTTTAAATAGTTGGATTTTTAAAAAAATACTATTTATTTGTAATATTTTAATTTTATTTAATTTGTATATTTAGTTTAATCTTATTTTTATTATATTTTATTAATAATTTAAAATTAGATATGTGTATATATTTAATAGTGTACAATTAAAATATTTTTTAATATATTTTTTAATGATTGTATTTTTTATAATATTTATTTTTAATATTTTAACACTTTATTTCAATTTAGAAAAAAAAAAAAAAAAATTGTCCTGGAACAGGAGAATATGCGATTTATAATCTTATGTATTATTTTATTTAATTTTTTATTTATTTTGTTTACTTTTGTTTTTGTAGTCCACTCAGTTTTGGAGTGCGCTTGTTCATTTTACTCGACAGTATGAATATCATGGTACCTTTATACCATAATAATATTTTTAATCATTTTCATTTAAATAAACATTAATAAAATATTCACATAGATACAAATACAATGATTTAAATAAATAAAAACATAAAATGCGCTTCGAATTAAAGTTATTTGGACCTCGCGACAGTTGGTTTGCGACACCTCATGAACGGTTCCCAGGCACCGCCCCCTCTGACGAAAACAGGCCGGTTGACCAATCACAAACGGGAAGAGTCGTTTGTGATTGGTCAGTCCGACTACTATCGTCATCACTACACAGGAAGTGTGATCCGGGTGAAGCGTCGTGCCGCGCCGAGCCCCTCAGTGATTTTGGATCAATCTGAGCGATCAGAAGCGATTAATAGCGCTAATCAGCGATTCGTTCCCCGTGTGTTTGAGTCATGGTCGGGGTGAAGGTGATCGGGAATGACTCGGAGTTCCAGGCGGAGCTGAGCGGCGCCGGATCCAGGCTGGCCGTGGTGAAGTTCACCATGAGCGGGTGAGTGAGTCTGTGTGAGGCCGCTGCAGCCGAACCTAACAGAACCGAGAACACACACACACACACACACACACCCACACACACCTGACGGGGCTCTGAGAGCACAGACAGACGCGCCAGAAACCCGAGTGAACGGGGGACAAGAACTGAACCAACACCGGCATGACTTAGCAAAACACACACACACACACACACACACACACACACACACACACACACACAGACAGCTAATGGGTCAGACAGACAGACAGAATGATAGATAGATAGATAGATAGATAGATA